GATTAGCCGAATTATATACTTTTTTGACGAATGATTGACGAGTGGCATTATGCCGAATAAATCCATTTCGACTAGTGATATTGGAAATGTTTTTTATATTTAATTTAATTAAATATAAAACAAACAAAAAATTCAATTATAAATTTAAATTTTCGAAATTTTTTTTAAAAATCAAGTTTTACAGATAAAAAATAAATCTATTTAACTCAAACTATACTATAAATGGATTTGTTATTTTATTATTTATATTTTAGAAATTTCTTTTTAATTTTTATTAAAACAAAGCTATATAAAAAATTATTTATTTCATCTTTACAATAAAAACAAAAAAATTTTAAAAAATTTTATTATAAGACAAGTTTCATATTGAATTATTTTAATCTAATTAGTTATATGATTTGTGGTTTTACATATTTTATTAAAATCAAAATCAATTTTTTTTTAAAAACTTCAACCTAATATCTCTCTTCTGACTAATTTCCTTTAATAAATACATCTTTTTTTCTTAATATTATTTTATTTTTATTATACTGTAAATCAAACACTCGATCTTCCTGTATAAAATAAAATAAAGCTCATTATACTATGCATTTTTATGAAATTAAAGTTGCATTTTTTCAAAATTAAAAATAATTTATTGTTTTATTTATTTACAATTCGTTTAAAATGATAAATAAGATATACGGTAAATTTTTTGAAAAAAAAATTTTTTTTATTTGTTTATCTCGCTTAAAAACTTTTTACAATGAAGGAACGATTACTGTAGCTTTGCAGTGATAAAGTTTGCGGAATTCTTAAAAATAGCAGAGAATCTGTATGGATGTCTATCATATTGTATGTTTGAATAATAAACTATACCCGAGTGCAAAAAAAAAAAAACAAAGAAAATTCAGAGTATATATACTGTATATTTAGTTTTTTTTTTAATTTGATTTATTTTGATTGTAAGATGTAAACTTCGTGCAACCACACATTCCTTGATATATGCCCCTTATTCAAAGGATATTTGAGCAACCGATCGTAATATGCCGAGTTGTTTATCTTGGATCAAGAATTTTTAAAGGTTATTGAAAACGTAAAAATATTTTTGAGAATTTTTTGTAAGAAGATTTCGCATCCGAGAATATCTTGATCGTTGCCTTTTATAAAAAATAAGAAATACCAAATCTGACCGTGAAGATCATGCATATTTCAGATATTAATAATATAAATATTATAACCGACAGGATTACAAACACATCTATTTAGAAGGAAGCTGCATTGAAGGAATTGGGTGTGTGCATACTTAAATTAAATATTTCCACAATTGGTCAATTTTAATTATTGTGTTGCGAGAGTTCGGATAAGCATTTGCTCGGGGTAAGACAACGTTGTGGTTAATATTGTGAATAATACGCATGATTACCTAAAAAAAAAAAAAATTAACATGCATTTATATACATGCAAAATTTCCATGTTAATTCTTTCATCGATTCATTAAAAAAAGTTTTTTTTTTCCTTCCCTCGAGAATCTACTCGAAATCAACCAACACATATTCTTGACCATATCAAGAATTGTGTCTACCTCTTCCCTCATTTAAACATCCTTTCCCTCCATAAAAATGGTTTTGTCCTTAAAAAGAATAGTCCTCTTTGCAGTGGCTATCTTAATTGTGGTCCAATTCATAGAAGCTGGAAGCATTTCCTTCCGTCGCTACCACCGTTACCACTACACCACCACCTTCCACACCACCACTCGCCGCACCACCATACGCACCACCCTCCACACCACCTTCCACACCACCACACGCACCACTCCCCACACCACCTTCCACACCACCACACGCACCACCGCTCACACCACCCTCAAAGCCAACATACTCAACACCAACACCCGCACCACCACCCTCAACACCAACACCCGCACCACCCTCAACACCAACACACGCACCACTCTCAATACTAATACTCGCACCACCCTCAACACTAATACTCGCACCACCCTCAACACTAATACTCGCACCACCCTCAACACTAATACTCGCACCACCACCCTCAACACCAACACCCGCACCAACACCCTCAACACCAATACACGCACCACCACCCTCAACACCAACACCAATACAAATACACGCACCACCACCCTCAATACCAACACCAACACACGCACCTCCACCTCCACTTCCACCGCCACCGAAACCTCAAAATACCCTATAGATCTCAGTACGACCAATGTTTGTCGGTCATTTACAGATGATTTCAGTCAGTCACGTATTGTGGAATTCTATAATTATAACGGAGATCCCAAATCGGCGGATTGGATCAATCTTAGCGGTTCTCCGAGTGCGTACACTTTGGATAACAACCAACTGCAAATCCATTTATTTAAGCCACAGGGAGATCAGCAACGTGTCAATTCTTCTCAAGGACCTTATAATAAGGTTGTTGGTATAGGCGCAACGCTGAATAGTACATATAAAATGCACTATGGAAAAGCCGAGATCACTATGAAATGTATTGGGGTTGGTGGAGTAGTCAATGCTTTTATCGTAAGTATGAAGTGTTTTAAATAAGAGGTTATAAAAAGAACAAATTATTCAAAATCACAATAATAATTTATTCACTTAAACTATTTAGACCATGGCGACGAACGGTGACGAGATCGATTGGGAGATGGTAGGCAAAGATGTGAGTCACGGTCAAACGAATTTCTTCTGGAATAATGATATGCTCTATGGCGTCAACAGCCGGACCCATGCCGTTTCCGGAGGATACATCAATACAACTTTCCATACCTATGGTATTGATTGGACGCCTGATTCGCTGACCTGGTTAATCGACGGTGCACCTGTGCGTACCCTGTATCGCAAAGACACCTTAGAAGATGGCATTTATAAATATCCTAGCCATCCCTCTTACATACAATTTGGGGTTTGGGATAGTAGCGGTTCAGCATCTACAACTAGTTGGGCAAATGGGCCCATCGATTGGGACGAACAACCTTCTGTGCTGTCCAATATAATTTCAAAGATCAAGATTACATGTGATTCTACTTATAATAAGGTTGTTAGTTAAACAACAAGCTCGGTGGTTGTGTACATTGGAGGGAAGGTGCCAGTCAAGGAGTGTCATGATTATTTATATTATCAGAACAGTAAAAAATGGTATATTTATTAGTTTCATCGTCTGGGCATTTTAAACCTGCAATGAATATTTTAGCATTTAGAATTACCCTTTCATTCATCCACACCTTTATTCGACCATTAATCATCATAATTTTCTCATTTATAGATTAGATCACATTTCTCTAGATAATAATGCTAATTTAATTGTAAATTATTTTTCATATAATCCTGACACACGTAAAAATATTGAGCCTTGGTAGTTTTCGTTGAAGCATGATTACCATGCTGGTTGAGACTTGATTGCGATATTCATCCAAATAAACGTATCTCTTACAGTATAATACGAATTTAAAAAAGGAGGCTACCATAAATAAATCCAAACGGTCTTATTGTTAAACGCCGCCATATGCGTAAAATATGTATAGAAGAACATGAGATAAAAAATTAAATCAAGACGAGAATAAGTCTTGACATGTATTTGTGTAGGTGGATTGGAAACGATTAGGCGGACCCGGTCGAGATTAGTCACTGGTTCGTTGTATAGTGTAACGATGCGAAGATTGTATGAATTCTGCTTCTTGACGACTCATGGAACGCTGGATAAGACATTAACACTCGTTAATATCTGTTAAGCGCGAACACGTGACTAAAAAAAAAAGGATATCTAGCGGCTAAACTTTCGTTTTTTATATGAAAGAAAACGTGTGAGAGCAACTTATCATTTGCGATTTTCCTAAGCCAAAAAAAAAAGTAATTTCACGATGAACACAAGTAGGCCTAGACTCTTTGGGATCTTTGCAGATCCAAAGAAATTAGAGGTTTGTTCAAGGGTATTATTATTTGAATCGATGATGATGATAACTTAAAATTACTTAATTTTTATTTTATTTTATTTTAATGCATATTTAAAAAAAAAAGGATACCTAATAAGGTTAATATATGTTTGTAAATTAACATAAACTAAAGTAAATTCATCCATTCAGAGTTTTACTGATGTTTCATCTTTGACCCTAGGGTTAGCAATTAATGCCAATTTGCATATTTCTTACCCGTAACAAGAAACATTTCTTCATCCGCAAAACCAAAAAATCTAGAATCTTCATTTAATGCTTAATAAATAATAAGCGTACCTACGCTTTCAATTGAAAGATCCAGTTTTCGGACAAATATAAAGCACGACCAGGGGTTATTTCATCAAAACCTCTATCCTTGTTTGACGTGAAATATTCGATTGTAAGAAGATGGCTAGAATCATGCTCCGTGCACTAGAATATAATATAACGAGTCATAATGAGGGCTATTTCCAAGTTGTGTGTCATAATAGTGTTGTGGCACGTAATTTGCAACAGCCGTCACACTCCTGAGATTCAAGTTACAAAAAATGTAGAATTTCAAAAGAATACATTGTTATAGTATCTTTATGTCCAATTTTATATAATACACTGATCAATAATGTGTGTGTTGAGGCTCTAGCCGTTCATCATTGTATACTTCTTATTAATAGAGGATATAGTTAACATTCATTGTATCGATAGAAAGACAATAACAATAGGAAAGATATTTTTGTCTTAAGTTTTACGGTCATGTGAGAAATATTTAATCGTTGAGTGTCAGCCAATCATATCAAATTTTAGGTTTGCCTAAACCTTAAATTAAAGAACAAGAAATGTCCGTGACGATGGTCAGGGGAGACAATGTTTCAGATGGAAGACGAAAAAAGGAAAAAGGAATGGGTGCACAGATCAAGAATTTGAATTCAACACTTGTAAACATTATATAGCGTGATATCTCCGCATGACGGTTATTACGCAAAATAGCATCATTTTAAAGGGAAATGCTCGAAACTTTACCAATACTTTTGAAAAACTTCTTTTGTATTATTTATTTTGGAAAGAAAAATTTTTTATAGTAAAACTATTTTTACATATTGTCCTTTCTAAGTAATAAATGTATTGTAAACACGGGGGCTTTTTTTTTTTTTTGAAAGAAAGAATTAAAAATTAGTTGATTTTGGTTTAAGGGAGATTTTATGAGTATTTTCAACCCGTGAAAACAATCTTTTTTTTTATATACACTTTCTATTTCCTCCCACATTTGGTAGGTGGAAATTTACTTATTTGCTAATATCTTGGTTTTATTTTTAAGAGTCTTAGATTCCAGATTGAAAGGCTCGGGTTTCCAGCGATGTTGAAATCGATACCCGAGAGCCTATTCAATAGTTTCTGAAATTTTTCCATAATAAGTCATGTTCCTCCTCCCGGGAGGCTGACAGTAATGGTTGCATATCGGAAGTGACAAATGAACTTTTCCGCCGACGAATTTTTTCGCGAAGCTTAAAATCATTGAGTTCAAATTTAGGGGGTTGCCCTAAATCCAAACTTTTCCTTGATTCCAACGAGAATGCACTGGTGATATTAATTTCCAAAGATCTATTCGTGTCTATGTTATATTCTTCATATCTTCCCATCATAAAATATGTTCTTCCTCGGATCTCCAACGTTGAGGCATTATCTGGCTCGATTTCCAAGGACCGGTTTAAATCAGCGAGGGATTCTTCGTATTTTCCCATCCTCTGATAGATTTCCCCACGGACTCTTAAAAATTTAGGATTATCAGGTTCATTTGTCAATAATTTATTTAATGAATCGAGCTTATAATTGACTCTGGGGAAATGGGAAAGATTTTTTAGCAAAAAGTTCATTTTTCGAAAGTGTATGTGCTTGACCCATGCGCATTTCGCGGCACTATATATAAGAGTTGTGACTTGAAACTCTGATACAGTGATCCGAAACTCTCTTGGAATTTAGGTGTGCGTACAACAGGTTACACAATGGTCTGTTAACAGATACAATCATTCTATTTATAATAATAGCGGGATAAACAATTATACTGGATTGAGGAGTGAGTTTCACTGTCCAATTTGGGATAAATAGCGACAGGAGAAAAAAGGGAAACCTTGACTGTTTATGTCTAGACTCGGACCCTAGTAATTCCTATCGGTTTCACAAATAAGGCATTCTTGGAAATGAGTTACACGAGCACAACGCCCAGAAGTTTTTTTTCGGTCGAGACTATCCCGATTTCGAATTCTCGGTTCTCATCATGTGATCTCATAGTATCGAAGTGGATAGAGTCGACAAATTTTTTTTCAAGACCATCCCAACTTTCAAAGAATATAATCGATGCTTAAAATTTTTACTTTCGCCGCAAAAAATCCCAACACAATAAAAAAGCCTTGCATTCGTGCTTGTTAAAAATGTCGGATTTTTTTTTTAAAAAAAAAATTTATGAATATATTTTTTTGTTTCGTAAGTTTAATTACACGAGAAAAAAAATTTTTTTTTTTCTTAATTCCATTTCTCAAAGGCATTGATGTTCGTATCTCATAACGATTGTCTTATTGAAAATACAATAGATCTTTTTTAAAAAAAAATCAAATGTCGGCCGTATATTGTATTCTATACGTATGATACATTCTTTTCACGCATAATAATGATTGTTAGATTAGATCCGATGGTCGAATTGACCGAACGATTTATAGGATCATAAAGAAGAATGTCTAAGTAATTAGGGTTAGCGCGTAAATAATACGAATTTGCTTCGTCGATTATCATAAAGCATTCAGCCTCGATAAAGGAATTTCATAAATGCACTGCATATGCGAATGTCCTTATTTTCTGGAAATTATTTTTATATGCAAACATTGCTTAGCTTTGCATCAGCAGTTTGAACAAAAGTTTTATGGCTTTACAATAACAATAAACACATAGCACATGTATATTCCAATCAATGTTACATAAAAATATTTATTAGATTTTTAATTACCGTATCCATTTATCACCAAAAAAGCATCGATCGCTCTCAACACTCGGCCACGGAAAAATTCGATCAATCAAATTTCGACATTTTTTTTTGTTCTTTCAATCATCACGATTTGTTTCTTTTTAAAAATTTTAAATTTAAATAATATTGTGCGTTGCGGGAGGGGCTTTCCATCGATTGCATCCACTCATCCATTTATTTATTTATTTATTACACAAAAAACCATTGTATCTAAATACCCAAAAATACGTTAAACTGAAATTCCCTTCTTAAAATTACTTTTGTGAACATAAATAAATACACAATATACGGTTTACTTTTATCGATCTATTGTCAATTAATAAATTAATAAATAAGGAAGTGATTTATCGAGAAATTGCGAAAATGTTTATTGGTAGAAAGTTTTTTTGCTAAATTATGTGTATGAAAATAAGCACTCAACCTGAAGCTTTCTTAAACATGAGTTTACGATTATTACATCAACATTCCTTATTGTATATTAAATATAGATCAATTGTAGTTTATTGCGATAAAATTCAATAAATATGATCTTCTTCTTTTCATAATTAATAATATAGCATTTTATTATATACAGCACATTCAATATATCAATAATAATATTGTTATTATTTTGAAATAATAAAGATAAACTTTTAATTTATCAATAAAATTTAGAATAAGTCATTTTGATAATAAAACATATTATTAGCTATATGATTAATTATATGAAAATGATTTAAAACCAATTAAAAAAATTATTTTACCAAAAACAATATGAATAATTGGTTATTGGTTATTGCTTTATCAAAAATGATATTTTTATTTTTATTTTATTTTTGAAAATTGCTTTAATATTATTTTTTTTTTATTTTCAATGTTTATTTAAAACCTATTATTATTTTAATATCTATTAACTTTTTTTATATATAAATATAGTAGAAAATTTAAAAAAATTCTTTTTTTTACAACATTTTTATTCATAGAAAATAGCCTTTTCAGAAAGTTTCTTTCTTTTAAGAAACTTTGTTTAGTGAAATATGTTTTTGAAAGAGAACATAAACTGGAGAACTGATTTAGAACAATAAGAGTTTCAAAAATAAAATTGGTTTTAGAATTTTAACAATGGCT